TGGCTGCGTAAAGACGGGGGGGGGGGGGATTGCTCCATCCATGCTGTTTAGCGTGAATGGCGTAATCTGTTAGATTTTCTGTACCCCAGGGAAGGGGGTTGCTCAGTGTCAGACATAAATGTTATCGGCTCCAGGGTTTCCATAAACGTCTAAATCTGTGTGCATGGCCAGCTTTAATCAGTGAGAATCTTTTCAACCTTTACACCACACTCAAACGAGTGAGGGCTGCTGTCTTTATAGCACTTTAATAAATTACAAAATAGTTTATTAAAAATTTGCAAATGAGTTCATTAAGATATAGCCATAGTGTTGATGTAGAATCATATGTGTGATTTGCAGCGTAGACCTGTACTTTAATTTCTTTTTTTTGGCTTATAGGTTATAATCCTCTGACAGGTAATGGGGGAGGCACCTGCGGTTGGAGACCAGGACGAAGAGGACCCTCTGCTGGTGGATGAGGTTAAGCTGCCTTGCTGGTGTTATGTCTATAACAAATACCAGCAAGGTCAATGGACTGTACCGCCTGCCAAAGCAGCGTCTTTATTACTGCTCTGAAGGGTCTCGCGACACGAGTCATTGTTGTCTGGAGTGGAATCGGATCGTGCTGTTTGTGTTCTAGCAGGTCCGGGTATATTTTGCATACCGTCAAGACAGACCTTCAACTAGAATGTGTTCCCAGAAAAGTTGGTGACCGTTCAGGTTGACCGATAATACTGTTCACTGCAGTTTGACGCTCTTAATGATGTCATCCTTACAAATGGTCCGCAGCCAATAAGGTTGACTGATGTTGTGTGGCGGATAGCCCTGATGTACATGTCTCTTCGTTGTTGTATCTGTATGAATAGAAAAAAAATAGAAGCTTTGCACCTTCAACCAAAATGGTGAGATCTCTGGATGGATATCAGGCTCTCCCATGTTACATAAATAAGCAGCACTTTTTTTTTAACCATTGTGTCAAGGCTTACCCTCTCAAACATTACAAGAGATTATTAAACACAAAATGTCTGTATTTAATCTGTAATTGTTTCAGTAAAGAAAAGAGTTTTGTGTATATACATGAAATGTGGCACTAAATGTTTGATATTTTGTACACTCCCATTTAAAACCCAACTAGAGCCACATTGCTAAAGGCAAAAAACCTCACCCTTGTCTGCATGACCGGTAAGCATTAGTGTAGTTGAGCTCTTGCCTGTGCTCTTCTCACTTGTTAGTTTCCCAGTGTAGATTGGTGGCACGAAGCTCTAATTTGCTTACTCTACTGGCACTTTACTGCAGACAGCTAATATAAAGACAGAATTCAGCCGTTTATACTATTATTCATACATATTGCAGTGACCTGCATTGTACCTCCTCGGATCAACGCAGGTCACAGCAAGGACACATAGAAAATCATTGATTTCTATGTGTCCCATCACACCACAATGTGGACGTGGTCTGCGGAGTGCTGCACTGCAATAAAATGCAAACATGCTGCGTTTTATTGCAGCACATTGCATGCCACTGCAGTCCGCCACAGCTCACCGCACTACCGTGCAGGCACATGTACGTAGTGAACACATTGTACATGCCACATAAAGTTAAAAAATGTAAACAATGACCGCTTCCACAGTGTGCGATACAATGGACTCTGCTGGAGCTACCACAATGCACTAGCCGTCCGCTTAAACAGAGTTTTATCGAACAGGCTAGTGTGAATGAGCCCTAAATCTCTTGAAATACATTTCTGAAAGTAGAAAATTTGCAGTGTAGATTGGTAGCACTCGGGTCCCAGCTGCAACCCTGGTAGTTCTTGGGACAATGCCAAGTATCGACACTGGTATCTGAACATCCCTACATTGTGGTGCGGTTTGTTCTGAAAAGCGTCCCAATATAACTTGCCTTGAACCGTCTGTGTTTTGATGTACGGAAGCCACCCACAAGACTGTGAATCCCATATATTGGGGTACCTTGGGAGACAAACAAGCATTTCTCATCTGAGATATTTGTTCATAGACATTAACTGGTTTTATTTACTATATCTTTATTTCTGCACCAATGATGCATTACATTGGGTACCAGCAACATTTTTTCTTTCTACATACTGAGCCATAAATATTTCTATTGTGCAAGTATGAGTGAGTGACTAAGTGTGAGGAATGTATGCTTTTTCCATTATTGGTTTTGGCCTTGAAGTTCATGGCAGTTACCATGATTGAAGTGTTCCTTAGTGAAAACTTAGCTGTTTATCCAGACAATATAAGTTCACCCAGACCAAACCTGTTACTCTGGTGAGTTCTGTTTAGCAGCCCCTATGTGACAAGTCTTTCTGGAGCAAAATGCACATTGTTTTGCTTTGTTATGGAAACTGTGTAATGAGTGATTAAGAAAAATGAAATGTTTTTCCATGCTTGAAGCAAATCGTTTTAAATGGGGTCCCTCGTTTTGGCTCCACCAGGTGTGTATTAATGAGTAAGAAGTAGGCCAAGTCTATTTACAGTATGGAAAATGTGTTCACCTAATGGCTTTCTTTGGGACACAGATGTGTAGGTTTCCCACCCCACAGTTCCAGGAGTCACATCCACAATCGCCTCCTGTCTTTATTTCCATTTGGCGCTCTTTCTCTATGGCCGCGTACCATCTACTGCTTTGTCTATTGGGATAAATGGACAAATTAGCAGGCTCTGCATAAAAACACATTACAATCTAGAATTCTAAAGCTGGGCATACACTGGTCTTCTTTTCCTGTTCAGTCCCATGGCCTGAAGCAGGAAAAGAAAAAAACTTGATTTGCCTATCCTCACTAAACAGCAAGGTGGATGAATTCCCCAGGTTGGGCTATTGTATTCTGACGGGTGATTGCGTCCAAACAGTGATTGGATCTGGCTCCAGTCACTGTTTGGCGGATAATTTTTAGACCTGTACCATAAACAAAAAATGTTTTTAAAAATCTATTTTTGCCGACCTTGGTTCATTAGGGGGGGGGGCACACACCATTTTCAGCCTAGACGGCAGGACTCCGAAACTTGAGCAGTGTATGACCTACTTAAGGGAATTACCCATGGTAGGTAAACTTCTTTCATCTACAGACAGGCCCCTAATATTTGCCATTCTTTGAGGCCACCTTATGGTATGTATGCTACCAGTTCTAACCCCAAAATAAAGTGACCTTCATTGGTGCATAATGGATGTAATTGCAAATCGGGGGGGTTTCTGAAAACTGGTTGTAAGACCCCACCATCTAGGTCCAGACTGCATGTCCTCTGTACTAGTTTGTTTTCTTTCTCCTTTGTTTTTCAAATTAAAAAAACAAAAAAACGTTTCACTCGCTTGGTTGCTTTCCTTTTCTATCATCATTTGGCCAGCGGCACCTTATGGCTCTCTAAGGAGAATTATTTCAAAAGACAAACGGCACCAAAAGGCCATTAAAAAAAAACCCGCCTCTTAGTCCTGAAAAGTGATGGGGGAAACTAGAAAGTGTCACTGCAATAAGTAGATGTAACAGAAAAATGATGATACACTTGAGAGATATATACTCCAGCCATGCAAATGTAATTTAAATCAAATTATCGTGACCAGATCCTGGATATAAGGTACCACACCCTTAATATATTGAATCAACACTGTACCAAGTGACAAAACCAAGCAATTACAACATGATAAAACAAGGATTCATTATCATACAAAGGTTAAAAATGTTTAAAAACAATTGATATGTGCACATTGCAGAAAGGAAAAAACCAAACTGATCGCCAAATTAACTATTCCAGAATTATAATGAGGCTAGGTGGCCAGAGCACACAAAATTGATGTAACATATTCTTGTACTCGTAAAGCATATAGATGCCTCTTCTTATATCAGAAATAGTTATCTCTCTCAACGCGTTTCAGAAGCGGCCGTTGATTTGCGGCCTCGTGGACACTGACGGCTCGGAGGTGATTGCAGACTGTGCTCTTTGTAGCTCCTTTTTGGGGGCTTCTTTCGAGACCTTTCAGTTTTAGACTGTTGTCCGCTTGTCACCTTTTCCTCACCACCTCTTGGGGGGGTCCTTTATGTCCTCGGGCACACTTCGATCTCGGGCTCTTGTTCTGCTGGCTTGGCCGGGCACGCACGGATCTCTGGGAATTATCTCCTTTACCTCCTGACGAAACGATTGGAACGCGAAACACGTTGAAAGAGAATTACTATTCCTGATATAAAAAGCGGCATCTATGTGCTGTATGAGTACAAGAATATGTTACATCAATTTTGTGTGCTCTGGCCACCTAGCCTCATATCATTCTGGAATAGTTCATTTGGAGATCAGTTTGTTTTTTCTTTTCTGAAATGTGCACATATCAATTATGTTTTGAAAAATTTTTGTCCCTTGTATAATAAAGACTCCTTGATTTATCATGGTGCAATTGCTTGGTTTTGTCACTTGGTACTTTAAAAGCCCCCCTCTTTCTTTTCCATGTTGATTCATGCAAATGTAATGACATGAGTAAACACATTCTGGGGGCACTGGCACTGTGCAAGGTATAGCAGACCACAGCAACCAGAATTCCGCCTAACTGCAGTCCTACTACTAGCAAATTATGCATTCTGATTGGTTGCTCTGGACACGTTCTCTTTTGCCTTACTGAAAGAATACAATCATTTTAAGTATAATGCTTAAAGATAGGCAGCATATTTAAGCAAACACATTAGAAGTGTTTTCTAAATAACAAAGCGGTTCTCATTATAATTAGGCTATTGTATCCACCCACTACACCCTCCTCTGTGGTCCTAAACCGTAAAAAGAATAAAGATCTTTTAAATCAAGGAATTCCTTTCACATTCAACAAAGACTTTTTTGCAATGTCTTTGTTCCCGGGCTGTTATTGCACAATTTCCCCAGTAGAGGGACTCGGACATCTTACGGCCGGGGCTTTTTCATCTGGTATTAAAGAAGAGCACCAGAAATATTTTCCCCTAGTGTATCCACAGCGAGCCTATAATATCACTTTTCCATGGCCGGCATGGGTGTGTTTAAGCTTTTACTTGCTGAGATCAAATAAATAGCAATTGGTATGTACAAAAACGCTTACACCTTGTATTTGAACAATGCCAGAAATGTTAGTAATGTATTATGTTGGCTACAATTGAAGTCATTGCGTAAAACAAGATCAATCTATAAAAGCTGCCACAGGGCCCATTCACACGATATGCGTTGGGGCTGCGCTGGCGGTCCCCCCCAGTATAGCCCCAACGCAAGGCAAATTGCTCTGTGACGGATGGGCTCGGTTCGCACGACGCATGGTGGTGTGTACTAAAAAAAAAAAGCAAAGCATGCAGTGTTCTTTTCAGCGGGATGCAACACAGCACAACTGCCTCATGGCTTGTTCACACCAGCTCTGGACCAGCTACGGTGCAGTGTGTTTTTTGCGCATTGGCACGGTGTCGGGCACTGCACACCAGCCACTGTGCAATTTGTGAAAAAAAGTCGATTTGTCAAGTGGAAGGGTTTCCGACAACATACGGGTCAAGCTTCGGCTGAGTCAGCTAAAATAGGATGTGAGGACACCAATGGACACTCCATTGCTGGAGGGAGCGCTCTAACAGCCAGCCAGCTCCAAGGTTAAGTTGAGCATAACTGTTGGTCCAGTGGGGAAAGGATTTTCTGATGGAAAAAATGGGGATTAGGCCGCACGTGCCCAGAAGAAACACGACATAGTGAGGAGCCCTGACGTAACCCCCACCAGCAGAGATCTCTGTGGCGTGTGGACAGACCTGCCGTTTTCAAATAATGATTTTTACCAGTAATTCACCATTGCAAAGAACCGCCAGGTCCAATCCCAGTCACTTTGCTGAATACATTTGACGCAGTGCAAATAAGTATTTTAGCCCAAATCCTCATTGGCATACTATAGGATTTCACCTCACCACCTGCCATTGACTCACACTGACCACCTGGAGCCCGCACTGACCACCAAGGCCCCGCACTGACCACCTAGAGCTGGCACTGACCACCAAGAGCCCGCACTGACCACCAAGAGCCCGCACTGACCACCAAGAGCCCGCACTGACCACCTGGAGCCCACACTGACCACCTGGAGCCCGCACTGACCACCCGGAGCCCGCACTGACCACCCAGAGCCTGCACTGTCTACTAAGAGCCCGCCCTGATTACCTAGAGCCTCACTGACCACCTTGAGCCCGCACTGTCTACTAAGAGCCTGCACTGATTACCTAGAGCCTCACTGACCAACTGAGGACCGCACTGACCACCAAAGAGCTGCACTGGCCCCTGAGAGCCCGCACTGGCCACCTGGAGCCCGCACTGACCACCTAGAGCCCGCACTGACCACCTAGAGCCCCCACTGATTACCTCAGTGCCACCCTGAGCTCGCACTGACCACCAAGAACGTGCACTGACAACCTAGAACCCACACTGACTGCCAAAGAGCTGCACTGGCCCAGAGAGCCCGCACTGACCACCTGGAGCACGCACTGACCACCTAGAGACCGCACTGACCACCTGGAGCCTGCACTGACCACCTGGAGCCCACATTGACTACCTAGAGCCAGCACTGTCTACTAAGAGCCCGAACTGACCACCTAGAGACTTCACTGACCACCTGGAGCCCACACTGGCCACCAGAGAGCCTCACTGACTGCCAAAGAGCTGCACTGGCCACCTGAAAGCCACACTGAACACCAGAGAGCCCACACTGGCCCCCTGAGAGCCTGCACAGCCCCCCTGAAACCCCGTAAAGCCCTCCTGAGACCCTGGAGATTTCAGGCCATGAACCCGGAGCAACAGAGTATGTAGCTTCATAGTATTCTGCAGTGCTGTATAATGTATTGCTGGGATTTGCATATATAGGTAGTATATGCTATATGTACAGAGTATGTTGGAGAGGTGGGTATATATAGGTAGTATATGCTATCTGTACAGAGTATGTTGGAGAGGTGGGTATATATAGGTAGTATATGCTATATGTACAGAGTATGTTGGAGAGGTGGGTATAAGTGGTATATACTATATGTACAGAGTGAAATGTAAAAAGTCTAATGACGATAAAGGTTTTTTCTCTGTGTGTTAAAAGATTTTTAAATTGAGCCGATTTTATGTATGATTGGTGTCCCCTGTAGACATGAGCATAATATGTGTAATTGGTATGTAATGACTATGCTGGCACAGGCGGGTGTGCTGTATGTAAGAGTATGACGTGTAATACATGATAAGTGATCTATGACAGGAGGGATTCTCATAGAATGTTTTCATATTCCTGGATTTGGGGTAAATCGTGTATCAGCGATACTTTTCGCCATAACAATTCTAGTATAATATAAACCCCGATCGGTTGCTATGGACACCTAACTCACTTCTGCCCCTGATCATTCAGAGGATGACACGTGCTCGGTTGCCCCGGGTAACAGCAGCATGACGCCACACGCACACCGCCGTCAGCTCTACACATAGTACACAACAGTGAGAGCTCTCGGCAGCGGCTGCGAAAGTTTTGTTTCGCTTCCAGGTCACGTGAGCCGGGGTCTCTTTCACTCGCGGCCAATCACAAGAGAAGCACGGGTGCCGGGCGGGTTCAATCCTTTGCTCAGTGCTGTGTGCTCTTAAAGAGCCGCGGTGCGGGTGACGTGAAGAGTTGGGAGTGAGAGCGGAGCTGCGGCGGGCGGAGAGTGACGGAAACGGAGCCGCCGCTCGTGGCTCAGCGTGCTGCTGGGACTGGTGCTCGGCTTCCTCCTGGCTTCCAGGTTCATCCTGCCCCGGGCCACCGAGCTGCACCGCAACAGCCGGAAAGGAGGCCCCCGGGGCACCGAGGGCGGCCAGGCTGGAGGCTGCGGGGTGCAGGCTGGCCTGAAGACGGATCGCCGTGACCTGCTTCCTTACAACGGACCCCTGCCCCCGGGCAGCGAGGAGGAGGATATCCCCCTGGCTCGGAACTTTCTGTATGTGGGAGTGATGACAGCACAGAAATACTTGAACACCAGAGCTGTGGCCGCGTACGGGTGAGTGAGCCGATGTGCCCATACACAGCCCGACATACAGGGCGATCAGATCCACTACTGTGCAATCAGCCAGCATCGATTTATCCCTGGAGACCTTTCATAATAGTTGCTCAGTGGTTAGCATCCCTGGTTTGCAGCAGTGGGGTCCTCGGTTCAAATCCAGGACTCTTATCCCTGTGCTTGTCTGAGTTTCCTCCAGGTACTCGGCTTTCATCCCAAACTCTACAAGCATTCTGTTAGGTAGATAGCCACTAGTATAATGACCTGAGAGTCCCCAAGATGGCTGACTTGCCTTCTATCTGCCCCAACACCAATTTGATAAGCCCTCTGTGTCCCTAAGGGGGGGGGGGGCTGTGTCCCTGGGGGGTGCATAGAAACATACATACCGTGTTTCCCCCGAAAATAAGACACTCTTCAATTTTTTTGGCTCAAAAGAACACTAGGTCTTATTTTTGGGGTAGGTTTTATTATTATTTTTAATTTTTTTATGTACAACAATCCACACTTATTCATGTAGAAAAGTCTTCATGTATTCATGTACAAAAATATGGTGATCAGGGGGGCCACGATGAGTGAAGCGCACTTTGACTATCGATTCCTCACAGGCGGAGCGCATTTGGTATCACTCCGCCTGTGACAGGAGCAGGCGCTATAGAGGAGGCATCGGCTTATGAGGCTCTGCTCCCTACTCTGTCGCCTCGCTTTCTCTAGCGCTGGCTTAGTTGGCACCGCTGATTCTCTCCTGCCTCTCCCGCGGCTCTTCAAGTTCCCCCTTTATGCCACCAGCGGCCCTGGGAATGGTCACAACTAGGTCTTATTTTCGGGGTAGGTCTTATATTTTAGCAATTCCCAAAAATAGTACTAGGTCTTATTTTCGGGGAAACAGGGTAAGTCGTCGTCTGGCCATAGGTGATCGTAGTCATTCCCTGACCATGATCTTTATGGAGAGCTGACAAAGGCTTCCACACAGCCCATTGTGTTGTAGTTAGGGCCGTTTAGTGACCACACAGCCCGTTGTGTTGTAGCTAGGGCCGTTTAGTGACCACACAGCCCATTGTGTTGTAGTTAGGGCCGTTTAGTGACCACACAGCCCATTTTGTTTGTAGTTAGGGCCGTTTAGTGACCACACAGCCCATTGTGTTGTAGTAAGGGCCGTTTAGTGACCACACAGCCCATTGTGTTGTCCTAAGGCCTGTATAGTGACCACACAGCCCATTGTGTTGTAGTAAGGTCGGTATAGAGACCAGGCTTTCGCCTAGCCCATTGGGTTGTGGTAAGGTCTGTAGAGTGACCAGGCTTCCACCTAACTCATTGTGTTGTGCTGTGTGGAAATGCTGACCATTTTTACTCATTACTCTACATAGTGCACATTTACCTCAGTCCCTGCCCTCAAAGTGCTTACAATCTAAGGTCCCTATCTCGCATTCATACATACCAGGCCAATTTTACACAGGAGCCAATTAACCTACCAGCATGTATTTTTAGAGTGTGGGAGGAAACTGCAGTGCACAGGGAGAATTTGCAAATTCCTTGCCGATAGTGACCTGGTCGGCATTTGAACCAGGGACTCCCAGTGCTGCATGGCACATGTGCTAACCACTATGTCACTCTACAGACCTTACTGTAACACAATTGGCTAACCAGAAGTCACTATGCTCCTTGTAGTAAGGTCTACATAGTGACCAGGCTTCCACCTAGCCCATTGTGTTGTAGGATGGGGTATATAGTCAGGATTCCACTTACCCCACTGTATTATGGCAAGGTCTATATCAGCGTTTCCCAATCAGGGCGTTGTGTGCCCTAGGTTTTCCTAGGTTTATGCACACAAGGGTGACGAGTTTGGAGAAGTGAACAATCTAGGAGAACATAGCTGATTTGTAAAAATTCTCCAATTCAGCTCACTTTCCAGTTCATCTATGTTCTCCTAGATTGTTCACTTCTCCTGCCTTCTCCAAACTCTTCACCCTTTTGTGAATAGCCCTGTAGGAGTTCTTTGGCTAACATAATGTAAAGGACATTATTCTTCCAACTGTCCACCATTGTGAGAGAGGGCTTTCTCCACTCTTGAATACTGTATAGGACATTCCTCAACTGTCCTCCAACATGAGGGCTTTCTCCACTCTTCTGTACTGTATAGGACATTCCTCAACTGTCCACCTACGAAAGAGAGGGCTTTCTCCACTCTTCAATACTGTATAGGACATTCCTCAGCTGTCCACCATGTAAGAGAGGGCTTTCTCCACTCTTCAATACTGTATAGGACATTCCTCAACTGTCCTCCAACATGAGAGGGCTTTCTCCACTCTTCTGTACTATATACGACATTCCTCAACTGTCCACCTACGAAAGAGAGGGCTTTCTCCACTCTTCAATACTGTATAGGACATTCCTCAGCTGTCCACCAATGTAAGAGAGGGCTTTCTCCACTCTTCTGTACTGTATATAGGACATTCCTCAGCTGTCCACCAATGTAAGAGGGCTTTCTCCACTCTTCTGTACTGTATAGGACATTCCTCAACTGTCCACCAATTTAAGAGAGGGCTTTCTCCACTCTTCTGTATATAGGACATTCCTCAGCTGTCCACCAATGTAAGAGAGGGCTTTCTCCAATACTGTACAGGACATTCCTCAACTGTCCACCATGTGATGGGCCCCTTGTCCCACTGACCTTAAATGTATGGGGCATTTCCCCACTGACCACCAATTTAAGGGGACATTACTTTTCTTTACTGTTTTTTTTTTTTCCCCGTGACATTCTTTTTATTTTAATTTCCTAATTCTTCTGAGCATTGTTTTTAATGGTCATATAGCTTATTGATCTCGATCATGTACCGTGAGCTGTAGATATAATAATTTTCGGTAGGAGTTCACCAAGACCTGAAAATGATTTCCTGGTCCCCTCTGGGATGTTAAGGTTGAGAAAGGCCGGTCTGTAGAATTGTCATATGCAGCTTTGTTTTCTGGTAAGGTGTATGTTGTAAACGGACTTCCACCTAGCTCAATGCATTGTAAGAAGGTCCATACATTTAACAGGCTTCTTCTGAGTGCATTGTGTTCTAGTTAATAGTAGAGTGTTTTATACAGCACTGAATGATAGTCAGCTTTGCCCTTGAATAGGTAATGTCTTTCAAGCTTGTAATTTTAAAATAGTTCTTGCATTTGAGGCCTGGACATGCATTTCCTTGCTGCATGCTTATTAGCAGAATGATGAGCTTTTACTTCTGATGTGTTTCAGGATGTTGGGCCTGGTTCACATCTGCACGTCCCTGGAACGTGCGTTTGTGCGAGTGTGCCCACCGTGTTTGCTGTGCGGCTCCATTGATTTCAATGGGATCATCGCGACAGGGCAAAAAGGCTCCTGCACCTATTTGTGCGACGTGCGGGAACGCATTGTTTTCTGCTACGTCTGTGTGGGTTTGCACACGCGGAAGGGCAGCGGAAAACTGTGCGATTTGCCGTTTGGGGTGCTATTAGATATTATTGGCACGTTTCAGGTTTGAGCATGATTCCACAGATATGCCGTGATCGCGCGGAAATTGCCGCCCAGGTGTGAACCAGGCCTTGCTGGCACAGTGTTTATTTTGCAATTTTCATTTATAGTAATACAGGTGGTCACTAAAGTGCCATGTGATTGTAAAAAAGTGGGAATTAAAGGTCATAATCCAACAGATTTATTTTAATTTTTTTTGCCTAGCTTGACATTGGAGTTGGGTTTAGGACACATCAACCCCCCCATAAATAAAATAATTTCATCTATTATTATTTATTATTATTATTATTATTATTATTATTACATAGTATTTATATAGCGCCAACAGTTTGCGCAGTGCTTTACAATATAAGGAAGACATTACAGTTACAGTACAAATCAAGACAAGATGGTAAGGAGGGCCCTGCCCCTGAGGGCTTACAATCTGAAAGAGGAGGGGGAAATGATACATGGGGAGGTAGCTGTGTGGGAATGAATTATTTGAGAATGTGATGGTTGAGTGGTTAGGTCGAGGTGAGATAGGCTTCCCTGAAGAGATGAGTCTTTAGGGAACGCCTAAAGGCAGTCAAGGTGGGAGATAGACTGACAGGTTGGAGTTCCAGAGGATGGGAGAGACTAGAGAAGTCCTGGAGGCGAGTATGGGAGGAGTGGACAAGGGAGCTGGAAAGCAGGAGGTCAATTGATCAATTTACACTATGCTTATTATGGAATATGCATAGTTCACAATGTCTGATTTAATCACATCACCAGGGGTTCATGAGTACGTTTTACGCTTTATCAGTAGCTTGGACCAATGTTATGCACACTCCTTTTAATCAAGACAATGTTTGTTGTAATGCAGTTTCAGCATGAACATAAACATTGTATTGTTCTCATGGGGGGTATCTTGCGTACATACAAAGTAATGCAATGTGTAAGATTGCATCTCATTGTTGTCAGTGTTTACACACAAATTAATACAATGTATAGAATTGCATCTCATTGTTTCCAGTGCTTGACTTCTATCACCAGGAATGTTTTCACTTGATCTCTGGTGCACATGCATTGTTTGTAGATGCAAATTTTATTGACTTTAGTATAACGGTGAAGACTAGACCATGTTCCCGTAATCCAGTCTGCATTTACTATTAGAGTTTTGTAGGGAACCTTTTAGAGGTCAGAAACTATTTTGGCTTCAAAACATAACATTTCTTGCAGCATCCTCAAGCAATTCAAACGCTTAATCGTAGAGAAGTTTGATCATTTATGTAAAGGGCCACAATTTTTGTATTGTGATTATTGTGCTCATGCTGAAAACAGTGTCTGGGGAAACAGCTGAAAACATATTGACATCCTATTGAGTTTCAGTGTCACTGGTCTTTAAAGATCTCATGCCTTTAACTTTACTCAATAAACTGCTTTTGTCAGCACTGATGTTGGTTACACGCCTACTACCCTAAATTCAGGAGTTAAATCTTAAAAATCCATTCAAGTACATTTAAAAAAAAAAAAAAATAGTTAAGGTATCTTT